GGTCGGGGTGGCTGTCTAGGGGGGGGAGCGGGGGATGGCTGGTTATCATCTATGAGCACAAAGTTGGTTGGTTGCAGGATCTCGAGAGATGGTGGTCGGGGTGGCTGTCTAGGGGGGGGAGCGGGGGATGGGTGGTTATCATCTATGAGCACAAAGTTGGTTGGGAGGTAGGGGAGTTGGAAACAGTGATGGGGTTTTCTTTGCCACGAGGGCTCCATTGTCCTCCACTGCTTCCACTCAATGTTATTGGCAGCCTCAAGTTCAGAAAAGAGTTTGTGCGGGTCCTGCCATAGTCGGTGGTAGGACTCCCGGATGGCATCTTTGACGACGGGGTCCGATTCCTCTCGATAATGTTGAACCAACTACCCCGGGGCCATCACCTGGTTTCGGCTACAAAAAAGCAACTTAAGAAGCAATATGAACATGCAGCAGGTACTCAGCCTCTTCAGCTACATGTGGCCGTCGGATGGGCAGAAGTAACCCTGGCTGTATCCTGTCTTTCCCAACACCATTTGCCCGCGATTTCTTAGCGGCCGCCACCATACCACTGCAGATCAACCAGTGAAAGGCGGTTGGGTGGGAAGAGGTCCAGGAACTCCGAAGGGGGGCCATGGAGCCGCTGGGTCGATCTTGGTCCAGTCTCTGAGTACCATCCTGTATTCTCTCCTGAGCTCCTGTTCCTCCTGTTGGTCTCATCCCCCCCATTGGATGCTGGCAATCAAGCCCCCCTGATCACCCCCCATTGGGTGCTGGTAATCAAGTCCCCCTGAAAAGTTCTGAGAATCTTTTCATCGTTTGTTGAATGTTCTTCTTTGTGTGATAGAGGTCCCGCTATGTTTTCACTTTATCCATTGTTCTGTCAGGTCTAGCTGGTGATGTTGTTTGATTAATTCCGTAAATTCCTCCCCTTCTACCCGCACATCCTCCATTGCGTATACACATAATTTCTGCCAGAGCGCCAGAGGACCGCTCTCCTGAGTCTCCTCCCTAGCTTGAACATGTTCTCCTCAAAGGTTCTATCTTGTGGGGATCTCCATGCCCCACACAAGAGTGCTCTCCACTCCCACGGACAGGCAGAGTCCGTTCCCACCTGACGCCATATCCTGTCCCAGCAATGCCATGTGAGAGTTGCACCCAGGCACTGCAGGAATATGTGCTCGATAGTTTCTGGGATTTTGCAGGAGGGGAAGCTGTTCTGACCTGACTTGCACCTTGGAACTGCGACCCCTTTCTGTTCCAGGTTCGCACGGTCAATAAGCCTTAGTGGGCAGACAGCGGTGCTCTATCTGCCAGTCCTTAGAGGGCAGACAGCGGTGCTCTATCTGCCATTGAAGGGAGGCCAGTTTGGCTGGCTTTGTTCTGGTTGCTGTGAACCAACGGATGGGCAGGATCACCTCCCTTCGAACATTCAGGTGGGTCATCCATCGCTTCTTTACGATGTCTTGCAGGTTTATTTTTGGGTGCAGCATTCTGTATGTGGTCTTCACCTCCAGGTTGAGTAATTGCGCATTTTTGGCATTCCTGTTTTCATGTGAGGATGGCCACTGCCACTCTTCCGGATCGAAAGGCAGGTCCGAAAACCGTGTCTTGGGGAGGAAGGCCACCAGGCCTCTTTTTCCTGCAGCACCCTTATCTTGAACAGTTGTGACTCATCGTACCAGCCAATTGCATCCGGGGAGAATCTGGTAAGAACATTTTCATTGCTCTCAATATCAAATAGGTTAATCAGGACCATGTCGTCCCGTACCTCCAGCACAATCCCACTTTCTCCGATTGCCCCCAAATCACCACCCAGTCGCTCTCTCGTAGCTCTGATCCTTTATGCAGAATACGTCCCCAGTTCAGCGGGACAGCGAAGATGATTTGTTCCAGGTTCTTCCCCTGGTTGTGGCAGTGTTTCAGATGTGGTCTCAGCTGTTGCTCTTCTTTCCATTTTTTTTGCCTTTGTAGTGCCTTCACCGCCTCCTCACTGAGGGCCCAAATTGCAGACTTAGTACGACGTTATTAATAACCAGTGATTTGCATCTCCACAGTGTCATTTTCTCAAGTGTCACTCTCAGGATCCAATCGTCATTAACCCCGGCCTCCCCAGGGTTGTCAACATTACCCCTAGCACTCTAACTGGGGCCGACTCGGGGAGCCATCTAGCTTGTGGCAGTTTTTTTTTGGGGGGGGGATGCTTTGGTGATGGATCCACCACCCAAGGGTTTTGTTTCCCCAGTTTACTGTCATGTCCAAGATGGCCATGAAACGGTCCATCAGCTTCCTTATCTCCTCCATATTCTCCGGGGAAGCTTCCATCATCAGCGCCAGGTCGTCTGCAAACAAAGACCAGACTGGGATCACCTCCTCTGGGATGGAGGAGATTTGGAGTTTTCTGATGTTATTTCACTGGAAGAAACCATTTGGGGTTAGAAGCTGCCGCCGGGTAATGGCATTTTGTTGATGTGGTTTGGTTATTTATATTTGTATCTATTTATGAGTAGGGTTCCAAGGGGAGCAAACACTTCGACGAGTGAGCCGGGTTAATGTTACCCCAAAACCCACCCCCGGGGTGGGTGCCCAAAGGGTGGGTCCCCAAAGGGAACACAAAACTGGGACTCTCTTAGGTACCAACATAACAGCAAAAGTTTGTGCTCCCCGTTCAGTCACAGGATTTCTGTGTCTCTTTTGTGGGCTTAAAGGCATTTTACTTCTTATTTGCACTCCTGGTCCTTTCCTCAAACATTCATTGTGAACACCATGTTTCAAAAGATGGGAAGATGTGGTGCTAGACTCCAGAGGCAAATGTGTTTCCCCCTGCACTGTCACAAAGCTGCGAGCTACGGAAAAGGCAGCACAGAAATCAGAACAGCAATGCCAAAGGAAATGGACATGAACATATCCCAGCAATGTTTTATCCTTCTCCTTAATCTCCACAAAGAAGCAATCGAGGCCGTTTGCCTCTTTGCTATAACCATGTAATACCCGCTGCCATTTGAAAAGGAAGCAGACGGATGCTCCTCAGCATGGAATGGAGCCCTAACTACAGGAAGGAAAAGGGGGAATAGGAAAGGAAGATCACTCCCGCTAACATTGATGATAAACAAGTTAAAACAACCAGATGACGAGTGGACTCTTTAATTAAACCTTATAATAACCCACTTCTAACGTCTAAGTCATCCGCCCATGAAAGCAGAATTATTTGGAATGTTAGGTGGGGAACTATTCACAGAGGGGTGACTCAGGGGAGTTACTTAGGCATTTTTAAAAGACCACGTGTGGGAGCAAGTCCATACAATACCTTGTTCTCAGTGAAGAAGTGCGGTCGCAGGCATTTGACAGCAACATCAAGACCATGCCATGTTCCTCGGAACACGTTTGCCGTGGCCCCCTCCCCAATGGAGTCAAAGAGGCTCACCTGCATCACCGACAACCAGAGGAAATGATAACTAAACTTACTAAAGTAAATTGATTAATTTGAAGAAATAAATTCATGACATTGCACAAATGAAAATGCAAACAAGTCCTCCAGGAGTCCAGGACATCCATTCAAATTGGAACGGTACAGAGAAAATTAGCAGGGCCCCTGCACAAGGATGACACACATAAATCGAGATATTGTCCGAATAGCCACTATCGAAGGAGCTCGGCTGGTCTTTCATTGGTTTTGCGAGGGGCAGCGGGAACTCCCGATGGTAGTGTCCTTCGGGATATCCGTTAAAATTGGAACGATACAGAGAAGATTAGCATGGCCCCTGCCCAAGAATGACATGCATAAATCGAGAAATGGTCCAAAAATTTTATCAAAAACAAGCCTATGCCCGCTGCAGATGCAGGGGGATCATGAGGGGGCCAGCAAACGCAGGGCCCCCGCATAGAACTGCACAGCCAGTCCCAGCAGCAGCAGTCGGGCAGGGAAAAAAAAAAAAAAAAGGCACCACGGGAAGGTATCCTTGCAAAAAAAAAAAAGGAGCACCGGAAGTTGGGCCCGCCCCTTGTCCCAGTAGTTTTCCCAACAGTGGAGGCAGGTCTCGCGTGGGAGTGTTACACGAGACCCATGATTCACTTTAAGAGTATCGACTGTACTGCATCCCAATGACTCCAGAGTCCAAACTAAACATGGCAATTACCGCAGGACAGAGGATTCCCACCGTTGGACCTTATCAAGCCCCCATCCTTTGTCTTTTCCTCTCTATACGTCAATGACCAACTGGGTGCGTCCATGTGGTTAACAAAGAAACAGAACAAAACCAAAAAGTGAATACCAAAAAGTGAATACCAAAAAGTGAATACCAAAAACAAATAAAAAGTCAGCGAAAAAGGAGCACGAAATCTCATACTTCGACCTCAATCATCTCTCCTTTTTCATTTGTCATTAGAAGGTGAACGAGTTCTTCACTTTGATTCCCCATAACTTGTCAGTCATGCCAGCCAAGACCAGAGGAGGATGTAGAGCCTCCTGGCATAAAGCGAGAAAAATCCATGGATTTCTATCTTGGGGTTTCTGTTCTTGTTGAGCTCATCCTTTTTTTTCTTCTGAAAAACCACCCCAACGGGTGCTAGGGGTGCTGATAAAAGCAGGCACCTCGTTGAGCTCATCTTGCTTACCCGTGATCTGAATTTACTGCTTGCAATCCAAATAGCAAGTTTCAGGATGAGGAAGAAGTGGGAACAGTTAGCTGAAGAGGATCGACTTCAGAGAGTTTCAGTATCTGACAAGGGCAAGCCCAAGACTTGGTTAGAGAGGGGAGAGAAGTATCTGTAAGAGCAGGAAAGGTAAAGGATAGGAGAACAACGGAAATCGACTTTAAACGAGTAAATAGAATAATAGCGATGGAAATGATGAGCCTTGTGAGCAGAGCAACACCCCAGCGAGACTATGTGGAGAAAGCTGCTGCACTCAATGAACAAAATGAACAGAAAGAAAGCAAGTGATCGGCGCAAATCGAACGCAATAAGAAAATGAAGACTTGATCTAGAAGGAGATACTGACATGAAAAGGAAATGCTAGGGAGAATAGGAGTAGGAAAAGAGCATTCTTGTCATATTTGGAGAAATTAAACTTTCTCCTCCTCATGACTTGTTACATCTTCGACGCCACACGGGTCCTACCGGACCCGACTTAGGGCCAGAGGGACACAGTAGGGCCTAAAGGCCCGACCTTGGGGTACTGCAGGCCGTAAAGGCCTCATCTTGGACCAGACCCGACGGGGAGGCCCAAACGACATTACCATTTGGGCCTGGCGGCGCTCTTGAGGCTGCCGCCCGCCGGTTGGGGCTGAACCGTCCATCTTGACGGTTCAGGGCACGGCCAGGCCTCGCAGCATAGAGGCCGGCCTCTGCCCCACCGGAACAAAAGTACCGGTCCAGCCTCAGTTCGGGATCGAACCACCGGCATTCTAAGCGGTGCGTTATGGTTAGCGCCAGAGCGCTAGCGCTATTCTTAGCCCAGGAGTACGAGGAGCAGCGGCAGCAGCAGTAGCGCAGCAGCGGCAGCGAGCGGAGCAGCAGCAGCAGCGACTGAGCATATCGGCGGCCATAGCCGCCTGAGGTATCGGGAGCCAGGGGTTCTCTCCTCCCTCCCGTCGCCAGTCCCCTCTCTCTCTCTCTCTCCTCCTCGACTCCCTTCTTCTTCTTCTTCGTCTTCTTCTTCTTCTTCTTCTTCTTCTTCTTCTTCTTCTTCTTCTTCTTCTTCTTCTTCTTCTTCTTCAGATTGGAGACTTCATACTAGTTGGACAGAGATCAGTGTTGGACTTCGGTGGTATGAGGCTGTGGTACTTACCGGATTCGAGACCTGGAGATTGTTGGGGTTGATACTCAGCGGCATCACAGTTCGGACACCGGTTACATTTGGACTCTGTATCTCCGACATTGGTGACTTATTGTCCTCAACATTTTGATCTTGTTTGATGACATTTTGGACTACCATATCGGTGACCTATCGGATTCTATCTCGGTGACCTTCGGTGCTGTCTACCTCCCCCACCTCCTTCGTCTCTCCTCCCACCTTTCATCTGTGAATGTGTGTACGGGGCCTGAGCATCTTCCATGTATGGCTCAGACCCCACCATCTCACGATTGTATGTGTGTGGAGTGATATCTGTGTGAGTCAGTCTATGTGAGTCAGTCCGTTACCAGACTTCCACTGCATACATGCTCATCCTATATTGGTTGATCTTTGGTTCTGCCCCATACTTGTTGAGACCTTCACGAGTATGTAACAGTTTTGGTATCGGAGCAGACCATTTTACGGATCTGCTCACCAGGTAAGTCTGATTAGGAATTACATTGCTTCTTCAATCTTCCAAATCAGCTCTGTATTACTATCAAGTTCAAAGTTGCAAATTTTTTTTTCTTTTCGGTATTCTATTTAGTTCGGCATTTCCGTTCAATTCGGTATTCGGACTTGTAATTCGGATTTCTGTTTTATTCCGGTATGCTGTTTAATTGGGTTCCGATAAATTGATACTAATCCGACATTCTAATTAATTCGGATTTCTGATTATTAATTCGTGATTAGGGTTAAATCAGTACTCTGTTTAATTCGGCATTCTGATTTCATTTCGGTTTCCGTTTTTATAATACAGCATTCTGATTTTAATCCTGTATTCCGTTTTCTAAATCGAAATTTCCGTTTTATTGCAGTGTGGGAAATAAGGGTTACGAAAATTTTTGGTTTTCAATCAACTTGGGAAATTCGAACGTTTTGTAACCGTAAAACCGGAAATTCCGCGGAATCGCGAAAAATTAGGGTTGGACTCCGAAATTTTCGCGATTTTTTTTTTTTCTCTCTCTTGTTTGAGAAATTCCGAAAACGGACTTAGGCCTTTAAAAATCGGATTTTGACGGTGGAAATTCCCAAAATTTCACGTTTTTGAAAATTCGAGTGTTTTTCTTCTGATTTTTTCCGAATTTTTTTTTGGCAAACTAATCCGTATCTGACCCTCAGAATTGCAACTTCCGGGTAGTTCACTAATTAACGGTGAACTCCCGGACTAAAGATGATCTCAACGGATACCTAATCTTGATACAATTCATATTCGTTCATTATCATTACTGCAAATATTGTTTTATTGATTATCATCATTATTGCAAATATTGTTTTATTTGAGAATTATTATTTCGTTATTAATCATTAATTAAACTTTATTGATTAAATAATTCGTTATTATTTTCTTATTGCGAATTTTTGAATTGTTTACGGGAAATTTATTTTTTCTGTTTGATTAGGTGTCTACAGTCCATCAGTGGGATAGGGACTGTATGTGAAGTGTTTTGATTGTTCTACCCCTGTTCCCACTCTCCCTACCCTCCCCGTAATGTGTGACCACCGGGATGTCTCAGGTACCACATCAGCCAGAGCTGATGTCGGTGGAACAAGACACCGGGGCACTGCCACGACGCAGTGCCAGGCTTGCAGTTCGTACCTGTCCTGTGGTACCTCCACGAAGCAAATATCAGCAACAGCGGCTCAGCAAGCGGACGACTCCAGCGGCATCAAGTACAGCATTGACAGTACCGGTTCTCACCGGAGTTCTTCCTGCATGTCCGGTCCAAGGGGCCCATGAACCGTTGGCTGACTACCTTGGGCGACTACAGGTATTCACAGATGCCGTAGCTGCCGCCAAGGTTCAGCAGGAGGCAGCAGAGGCAGAACGTCAGCGGCTGGCCAATGAGGCGGCAGCCCAAGCTCAGCAGACTGCTGAGGCTGACGCAGCGGCACGAGACAGACGGAATGCCACCAGCACGGAGTCCCTGATTCAACATGAGAATCAGTGGACAACGCTACTCGAAGGCATGTTCTTTGTGCCTACGGAAGTGCAGGCGGCTCCGACACAGGCGGAGGGAGAGAGAAGTAACCTGGCTACCCTGATGTTGAGCGTGATGAGGGGAGTAATGTGGAACAACAAACTGCTGCAGGCACACCTGCTCGCGGAACGACAGCAACGACAAAAGCACCAGCAAGAGGTGGCTGTTTTGACGGCCGCCGTCCGCGACRCAGCAACACAGCGGCARCAACAGCAACARCTGTTGAACTCYACTCTCGCACRCATCAACRGCATTGAGGCWAMGGCCTCRGCAGCGCCAGGCTRCACGACGGACGCGACGAAGCAGCTCAAYGAGCGCATCSATCACRTCGTCACTATCATYGGCGAACTAGGTGATTTCACTAGTCCGGCCACGATCAGCAGCACGGTGGCCRCCATCAAGACGAGCATCACCAAACTGCAGACAAGWCCGGACGCCGCTACAAAGAATTACAAGATGCCGCACTTCGACATCAGCAAGTTCGACGACTACAACAAGTCGGACGCCTTGACATGGTGGCAACGTTTCCTCACGGAAGCATCGTGCCGCACTGTCCCGGATGACGACATGATGAAGGCGCTTTACTCACAACTGATTGGAGGAGCGCAGGCCTGGATGAACCATCTGGCGGCTACCAAGAAATGCACCATCGCCGAACTCCACACGCACATCCCGTGGAAGGAGTTCGAGAAGCTATGGTTCACCCGGTTCATGGTCCGCAACGTCGTGAAGGCGGCCATGAACGAGGTGTACACCTGCTCTCAAGGGAATATGCCAATTCGAGACTGGACAACCAAGTGGCAAAAGATAGTGACCACGCCAGGCTTCGATTTGAGTTTTACGAATCAACGATCCGAGTTCTTCTCGCGATCATGTGCAGGACTGCGAACTGCACTCGGCAACGAGTACGATTACGCCTCATTCTAGGCTATCCTGGATCGTGCGAACATGGTCATCCAAACGGATGACAAGGCCGCAAACGAACGGCAGTCCCAGCCGCATTATGTGGCTAAGCCAGACTATCAATGACCGACACATAACAATGTCGTGATTTCTGAAGAAACAGTCAATCTCCACGCTACAGCAACATCCTCGAGTGATGGAGGAATTGTAGCAGCGCTCCTGCCGAAGCGTCCCAAGAGAGTTCGGAAGAACAAGGCGACACAAGAGACGGCAGCAACGGGAACTGGGCAGCAGCCATGGACGGCATATAAGACAACCAAGGAAGTATTTGACTTACGTCAACGGTACGGATATTGCCTATGGTGCAATAGTGTCGTACACACTACCGTACAATGGCCGGACAAGGGCAAGGCACGCGTACCCCGTCCAACGAACTCGGGAAACTGAGTTACGCAAGGAGAGGGGCGACGTCTCTCCTCACTCCGTCGGAACCGGTTGCCTTGCTAGCAATCGATGTCACTACCGGGGAGCATGCGTTAGTCGCTGATTCTCGTGCTACGTACGAGGATTATGCCGCCCAGCTGGTACCACCACTAGACCAGTCGAGCCATGTGCACTTAGATTGTGTATGCGCAGCCTGTACACCGTCGGCAAGTGATCCGGTCAGTTCGCCACTGATTTCCGAGGACTCGACGGCGTGGTCAAGACTTGAGGAGCTTGACCCGCTCACAAGAGAGGACTTCGCTTGGATGCCTCTACCCTCCACCGGAACCTTGCCAAGGCCTCATTGCAATGCCTTGATGGCAAATCTACGCTCCTATTTGCACACAACAGTACCAGCTCCGTTGACGGACGACGGAGTAGCGGTTGTCGATCTCCGCTCCTATCTTGCAAAGGTTGACCGCGAGTACGCCACCCAAAGGTACGCCAAAACCGACGCCCCTTTGCTCTATATCCGCATTCAAATCAGAAAGGCAACCTGTAGTGCCTTGATTGACTGCGGAGCGTCTCGCAACTTTATGAGCCAAGCCTTTATGGCCCGCGCAGGTCTTGGCCCGCGCGTTCGAAGGAACACGCAACCTACGTAAGTTACACTTGCGGACGACCGCACGCAAAAGTCAATTGACCGATGCGTCGACGACGTTCCGGTATACTTTGCGCCACTTGCGTGTGAGCCGGTGTCTTTTGACATCCTCGACACCAAGTTCGACATGATTCTAGGCATGACTTGGTTGCGTAGCGCCGATCATCCGGTGAACTTTCATGACCGAACCGTTCACATCCGTGATCGGAACGGAGTGTTAGTCCCATGTACGGTCGCGACCCCTCACACTTCGATTGCTTGTCACGTGGTTTCCGTTGCGAGAATTCGCGACGCCATAGCTCGGTATCACGTTGAGGAGATGGGCCTTGCATTCTTGCATGCTCTCCCCTCGCCGGACGGACCAGCCGCGTCACCGCCAGACCCATGCATCACTCACCTCTTGGACGAGTATGGAAACGTCTTCGAGGCTCCCACCGGAACGGTTCCGGATCGGCCCATACGTCACGGGATCACTCTCGAGGCTGGTGTCGTCCCTCCGCTTGGATGTATCTACCGCATGAGCGAAGAGGAACTCGAGGTGCTTCGTGCACAACTCGATGACCTTCTCGACAAGGGCTGGATTCGCCCTAGTTGTTCGCCTTACGGTGCCCCTGTTCTCTTCGTCCGGAAGAAGAACAAAGATCTACGGTTATGCATCGATTATCGCAAACTTAACGCAAAAACCGTAAAGAACGCCGGCCCTCTCTCTCGGATTGATGATCTCCTTGAGCAGTTAGGCGGCGCGACGTACTTCTCGAAGTTGGACTTGAAGTCGGGTTATCACGAGATTGAAATCCAGCCTCAAGATCGGTACAAGACCGCGTTCAAGACGCGGTATGGGCATTTTGAGTGGGTTGCCATGCCATTTGGCCTCACCAATGCCCCCGCGACTTTTCAAGCAGCTATGACGACTGAGTTTCACGACTTGCTCGATCGCAGCGTCCTCATCTACCTCGATGACATCTTGGTCTATAGCAGGACGTTGGACGAGCACATCATACACCTTCGCGCTGTTTTGAATCGTTTGCGACTGGCCAAGTACAAAGCAAACCGCGACAAGTGCGAGTTCACCAAGCAGGAGCTTGAGTATTTGGGCCACTATGTTACGCTGAAAGGCATTCGTCCCTTAGCAGACAAGATCCAAGCCATCGTGGATTGGTCGGAACCCCATTGCACGACGGATGTACGCTCTTTCATGGGTTTGGCTGGATATTATCAGCGATTTGTCGAGTCATACTCGAAAGTGGCCGCCCCTTTGTCGAGACTTCAGTCCCCAAAGGTGCCCTTCGAGTTCGACGACGCAGCCCGTGGCGCATTCACTACGTTGAAGGCAGCAATGCAAGCCGCACCTGCCCTCCGTATATACGACCCCACCCTTCCTACCCAAGTGACTACGGACGCTTCGGGATACGGTATTGGTGCGGTGTTGGAACAGTGTCACGAGGACGGTTGGCATCCGGTCGAGTACTTCTCCCARAAGGTGCCTCTCGTCAACACTCTYGAYGACGCTAGGAAGAAAGAGCTACTCGCGTTCGTCACCGTYCTCAAACGGTGGCGCCACTTTCTTCTCGGYCGTCGGCGTTTTAAATGGAATACGGACAACAATCCGTTGACCTTTTACAAAACGCAGGATACGGTCACTAGCACGATCGGTCGATGGATGTATTACATTGACCAGTTCGACTTTGACCCGTGCCACATTCCCGGTCCCGCCAATCGAGCTGCGGACGCCCTCTCACGACGGCCCGATTTTTGTGCCATTGTGACCACGGCATTTGACCTCGATGACGATCTGCAGCCGCATTTCGTCAAAGGCTACAAGTCTGATCCGACTTACTCTACGCTTTACGCGGAGCTTTCATCGGATCACCCGCCGGCTAGCCACTATCGGATTTCCGACGGGTTCCTTCTCCTTCACACGAGAGGAAAGGACTTGTTAGTTGTGCCCCATATCGCATCTTACGGACTCGTCTTCTCGGCGAATTCCACGACGCACGACTTTCGGCACACCTTGGCGTGAACCGCACACTCGCACGCCTCCGCCAGCGTTTTCACTGGCCCAACGTCCTTCATGACGTCACGAGGTACATTGAGTCATGTGCAGTTTGCCTCCGTAACAAGGGTCGATCTCGAATCCCCTTCGGCGAACTAAAACCATTGCCGATTCCTCGGGCACCACGCCTTTCCATTGCTATGGACGTGACAGGCCCGTTCCCCCGCGATCGCCATGGCCATGACGGTATTCTCACGGTTGTTGACCGTTTGAGCAAATATGCTCGCTTCCTTCCTTGCAAGTATCATGCTGCAGCGCCTAAGCTCGCACGACTCTTGCACACCGGTTGGATTACCAACCAGGGTGTTCCGAAAGACATAGTGAGCGACTGAGATACTCGCTTCATGTCGGCCTTTTGGACTTCCCTCATGGCTGAGTCCGGTACGACAATGAAGCCGAGCTCGGCTCGGCACCCGCAGACGGATGGCCAGACGGAGCGAGTACACCAGACCGCTCAGACGATGTTGCGTACGCTCATCCGTCCYGACCAGAAAGATTGGGTTGACCGGCTTCCCGACATCGAGTTCGCCCATAACACTTCGGTGCACCCGGCGATCTGCGTCACACCATTCGAGCTACATCATGGTGGAGAGAAAGCACGGATCTTCGCTGATCTCCTTTTGCCACAGGCTGCCGACATAGACGTTCTTTGCTCTCCCGCTTCCGTTCGGAAGTACCGGGACTTGCTGATCAAAGCCCGCACAAATATGCAGAAGGCTCAAATCCGCATGCAGCAGCAAGCTAACCGACGTCGACTTCCATGTCCTTTCCGCGAGGGAGACCTTGTTTGGGTCCTCTCCGAGGAATTTGCGCTCGAGCAGGACGTTTCGCGCAAACTCCTTCCGAAATGGTTCGGACCATGGGAAGTCACTTCTGCCGTTGGAGACGACCCCGCAGGTCCTTCCTTCGTGATCAACATCCCTCCGCACCTTACAGTGCACCGGATCTTCCACGAGTCGAAGCTGGCCATCTACACGCCACCTTCCACCGACGAGTTCCCCGGCCGTCGATCACAGGATCCGCCTTCTATGGACGGACATTAGGAAGTGGACCGAGTCATCACGCACCGCAAGTATGGCAACAAGCCAATGCAGTTCAAAGTCACATTCAAGCAATGTGCGCCTGACGACACTCGGTGGATCTCTAGTGCAGACTTGCAGACTTCTGCACCCCTTATCTTCGCCGACTATGAGAAGCGACGCCTTGCCAAGTAAGCAGCTCGTCCCACCCGACCCATCCCGGTATCGGACAGACAACTTCGCCCTCGCAGGTAGCTCGGTCTTTTAAGAGGGGGAGTGTGTTACATC